AACCGACCGTTTCACTCGTAAAAGCAGCACCCGGCAGCTCCCCAACGCCTCGGAAAGTCCGCTGGGTCCCACAGGGTCTGGCGGCCTTGACCTCCCGTGGCGGATCCCGGGCTTCCCCGGCGCATCCCGACCCGGCAGCGCCGGAGCTTGGGGGCAGGATGCGTTGGACCCCCCATTGGAAACCTGAGCGTTTTGCTTCGCTAGCAGGCCAGGCTCTTGTGCAGGTGCTTGCCATGGGGCTGACAACAAGTAAGGCAATAAGATCCCCCGAATGGCCGTGTCCTAGCCCATAAACACAGCGCGGCACCTACTCCCACACAGCTCCATAAAACCGGCCCTTAGCCAAGCGCTTTGAGGAAGCAAAAGGCCCTCAGCGACGTTGCACCCTGCGGTACAAAGGGACAGGAGGCTGCAGGAGGGGACAGGAGAAGCCCCTGTTCCTTGCAGGGCCACGAGGCCGGCTCCCGGCTGCAGCACCCTCCGCTCGGCTCCTTCATGGGCAGATCCGGAGCGCTCGTCTGCCCAGGGAATCAGGAACCCGGGGGGGAAAAGCTAATGCAGACAGAGCTCATTAAAGCCAGAAAAAGGCTTTGAAAATTGCCATCTGTGGAGCCTGTTTTCTTTCCCTGTTTGATGGGGGGAAAACTGTGCAAGATGGAATGTGCTTTTCTGTTATTGGCTGGCTGGGTAGATCTGTTAAATTATTTGCAGAAATATGAAGTAAAATAGTACATTGTGCATGTAGGCAAGGGAAGGCCATGGTTTTATCAGCACAAGTGTAGCAGGGCACAAAAGCCAGCACACTGTGACATGGAAAATGACTGGAGAAGGGGGAGAGATGAAGCTCTAAGGGAAGAGGACAAGTCTGGAAGCTGGGACATCTATGGGAAACTCGCTCTGTGCATCACAGTCATGCTCCAAAGGGGATAAAGGGGATATTTGTTTTGAAATGGCCATTTGCTCCATAATAGTCTCCAGAAGGTTCAACCTGGCTGTTGTTCTCATTGCACTTGGTGCTGCCCTACACGTGCTTGTCCCAGCCTGGGCACCCGTGGCGCTCACCAGATGGGCATTAAATGCAGGCAGAAGGACCAAGAAGCCCGAGAAGCACCCCCGAACCTGGAAACAGCAGCTTCGAAGCTCCTGCTGCCCTCTGAAAATCTCCCCCTTCGAATCGCAGCATCCTCTGCCCTTACTGCACAGCTCAGGGCGGAGGTTGTTGCGGTGCTCTTGGCGCAGGGGCTCCCGCCGCTCCTTTTGCACGTAGGAAACCGATTGCTGCCGAGCTGGCACTGGGGCACGAAAGGCTGAATCCCGCTTTTCCAGACGAGCGTCAGAAATAGATCTGGAGAGACGATGACTCACCTGTAATTGAGAAAAAAACTGCGCGGCTCCGTCATGGGCTGTGACAGGCAAGTCCCCATGGGCCCTGCTGGGCTGCAGGAGCCCCAGGGAACTGGGGGCCGTGGTCTGGAGCAGGGAGCTCTGCTCCTCGCACCTGCACCACGGCACAGCAGCACCTTGCATGCTGTCACCTTGCACAATAGCACCCTGCAGGGTGACCCCATGCATGGTGGCACCTTGCACCTACACGATGTCACCTTGCACAGCGACTCCTTGCACGACAGCACCTTGCACCTACACGGCGTCGCCTTGCACGACTCCTTGCAAAAGGCACCATGCGCGATAGCACCTTGCACGACGGCACTTTGCACAATGGTGCCTTTCCACCTGCACGCTGGCGCCTTGCACAACGGCACCTTTTTGCCGTGCATAACAGAACCTTGCACGATGGCACCTTGCACGATGGCACCTTGCAGGGTGGCACCTTGCAGAGCAGCACCCTGCACACGTGGCTGCCTGCGCCGCGTGGCCGGGGTGGTGGCAGTGCCCAGC